CAGGGCTGAGGTTTGGGATGTGGAGCAGAGCTGAGGGCACAGAGGGAGATCCCAGATTCCAGAGCTGTGCTCTGGCAGTGACTCCTGGCCAAAGGCAGGAGACACAGCAGCCCCATCCCCAGCTCTGCTCTCCCAACCTTGAGCACTGTTAATAAATCCCTAATCCCTGCAAAATCATTTATTTGGGACTGTTTAGCTCTAAACTTTTAACTGCTGAGCCCTGCTAAATCCACAAGCTCATTAGCTCTCTTCAGCTGCGTTAATAACGATAATCTCTTTAATGGGAGCAACTCTGGACAGGATTTACCTTCCCAAAAACCCATGACTGGCACTCAGTCCCCTTCTGCCCTCTAATTCTTCCCCAAGTCCCAGGGAGCTGATCAAGAGCTGCTTGAGGAGCAGAGGCCAGCTCAGGAAGCTTTTCCCAGCTCCTTGTTCTTCCCTGCAGTTTGGAGCATGGGGAGCTCCTCCCCAAAGGCTCAGGCTGGAGTGTCCCCCCTGCCTGGGCTCCTGCAGGCTGGGGCTGCCCCTGCTGCTGGAACATCCCCTGGGATGGATGGAAATGTTCCTGCTCCTGGCTGGGTGGGATTCCAGCTGGGCTGGGGGGGTTTGCCTCCTTAGAACTGGGTTTAATCTGCTCCTTGTTCCTAAGATCTCTCTCTGTTAACAACTAAACAGCAGCAGCAGCAACAAAAGAACGAGAGGTTTATCATTAATTTGCCATTCAAGGATTTTCCTTTCATCTCCAAGTTTGCTCTATTTCACATTTTCTAGCACTTCTGTTGTCTGCATTCCCTTTTTTTTCCCCTTTATAACACTGTCTTTTTAATGGCTGCTTTGATTTCTGTGGTTTGTGGAAGGGGTTTCCAGCCAGGCTTGGCTTTTGTGGCTGCAGCATCCCTGTTGTGGTTGCATCTTCCTGACACTCGGGAAAAACAACCCCAGACTCCCCTCTCCTGCTCCAGGGTCCATCCACATCCCACTCCACAATTCCACTCCTGTGCTGGCTTTGGGGAGTTGACCTTTGTGAAGCAATAATCTATTTTGGAGTGAATTTAGAGAGGAAAACCAAAAGCCCAAATCAAATCCATGCTGACCATTTTCCTGCATTGCAGGCTCCAAAGCAGGAGTGTGGTGGTGGCACAGGTCACACACTTCACACAGCACCCTGATTTCACTCCTTGCACAGTGGGGATTTTCCTGCTGGCTAATTTGGGTTTCTCTCTTATCTCCTGCCATGATAAGGCTGCCCCAAACCCCCAGCCCGTTCCTGCTTCACTGCTGAGCAGTTTGGGGAGGGTTTAAAGGGAGCTGGATAAAATAGGATTGCACTTCCCAGCTGACAGCTTTTGATAAGAGCCCCAGCGCTGCTCCCCACTCCCTTTGTTTGCCCTGGGAGGTTTTTCCTGCCTTCCTGGTCCTGTGCAGCCTCAGGAACCCTGGCTGTGGTTCCCTCTGGCAGGTGCAGCTCAGGTGGGAAATCTGGACCATCTTCAGAATCTTTTGTCCTTCTGGTGTCTAATAAATCATTTTGNGCTGCTCAGCTTGGGCTCTCCTGTACTGCCCAAGTCTAAAACCCTGCACCTATTTCCATGTGAGGATGGAGGATTTCTTCTCCATGCCCAGCTCTCGTGGGAGCTTGTTCCAGAGTCCATAGCCCCAGCCCCAGCACAGAGGTTGAGTTTTCAGAGGATCATGGAATGGTTTCATGGAATGGTTTTTCATGGAATTTTCATAGGATCATGGAGTTTTCATAAGATCATGGGATGGTTTGGGTTGGAAGGGACCCAAAGATCATTTTGTCCCAATGCTGTTGGTTTGCTCAGCCCATGTCCCTTTCCTTAGGGCAGTGCTGGGTTGGAGGGCAGCAGGGTTCTGTGTTCTGAAGGTGACCGTGTGATTTTCCCTCCACAGCTCATCCCAAATCCCTGCTGTCCCAGTCCCGGCTGGCCATGAGGCGCCTCCTGAAACAGCCTGGCTGCTCGGCCGCCCTCAGAGAGCTGGAGATCCCCACAGCCCTGGCCAAGTACCTGCAGCACCAGCCGTGATGCCAGCCTGCCCAGGGACACCAGTGAGCACCCCAGTGAAAACCTGCTCCACCCTGGCAGTGAATCCCTGAGATCTGTGGAACCCCCGGGAATTTGTGGTCACAGGTTCATTTTTGCTGCCAGGTGTCTCCAGAAGGCCGTGCCCACGTGGAAAGGTGGGAAGGGAAGTGAAGGAGGAGAGAGAACAGGAGGTCTCAGCTCCTGGTTTGCTGCAGAGCAAGGATAGAGCAGGATCTGTTCCCCTGGGTTTGCCTCAGACTGTCTGTACTGAGGGATTTTACACCTTCAGCTGATCTTGGTTGGAGAAGGGGCTGGGAAAGAGTGTGGAGGAATTCTTGGCTGTGAGGATGAGAATTGTTCCCTGGCAGGGTGGGCAGGCCCTGGNGAATCCTGGTTTGGGCTCTCCTGGTTGAGGAGCCTCCCTTTGGAGATGCTGTTTGTTTGTTCAGGAGATGTCCCAGCTGCTCTTTTCCTTTCCCACACCATTTCCCTGGGGGCTCTAACTGGGAACACAACTGTCCTTTTGCAGGAACCCCCAGCCCATTCTCCATGAGGGTGGGTGATCCCAAAGCTCCACAGCTCATCCCTGGTGTGTCCCATGAAGAGCAGCAGTGTTAAAATTTCCCACACTTCTGTATAAATTGGGCCAATGGGTGCCAGCCCGGCAGAGCTTTGCCATCAGACTTGTCCCAGTGTCCCCAGGTGTGCTGGTGGCCTGGCTGGGGTCCCCCTGAGCTGGTGGCTGTGTCCCCATGACTGCCCTGGACAACGGGGCTAATTGCTCCTTCTGCTTATCAGATAATTAACTGTTTGCTACGCCTCCTTTGCTAATTAATTGCCCCTCGAAGCCCCAGCTCTGCCTCTCCCGAGGGAATCCAAGCTGTCCCACTTGGGAAGCTCCAGGGTTCAGTGCCACTGGTGAGATCAGCTCAGCATTTCCATCCTTCCTGCCCCAAATCCCTGTGCACAAACATCCCAGACCCTTCTGCAGCCGTGATCAGGGGGCT